ATTCTTATTCAAGTTATGATTTAAAGTATCCAATTATCTCCAACTAGGATTCAAACTCCTTATATAGGTATATATTCTGGACTGGATATTTCAAATATGCACATTCTTCTTGAACACTAATAGCCCTACCCTCTCCAGATTATGCTAAAGGGAACAGAAACAATGCATGTATCCAAGATATTTTCAAAAAATAAAAAACCATGCACACATTAGGACACTGTCTCACTTCATAGACAATCTGTGAGATAGCAGTGATAACACTACATTTAAAGGTTTTGCTTTTAATTTTTTGTCTCTCAATGAATACCATTCTTAAATTGAATTCACTAGTGCAAAATATGCTTTCTATAACTACCATTTAATATGGGTTAATATTCAACTGTTATGGTATATTGCCATGGGGTCAAATTTATAAATAATAGGAGTTTGTTTTGTATTACGGGGTAAAAATTATAAAATGTAAAAGTTTATTCGTAAGGGTTATATGATAATCCGTTATGAAATGGAGAAACGGGGTCTAATTCACAATTTTTGTAAAATTCAATCTGGTATGGGGTCATTTTTTAAATTATAATTTTTTTATCCATGTCCGTTTCGCTTTTAACCCTTATCAAATGAATGGCCCCTTTTACGATAAATTGAATGGACTTCTTCGACAGGAAGGAAAAAGTTCCGCGGCTCAGCTCTCAGATGATGCAGACGATGCTTCGCCGCTCCAGGAGGATGCACCTCTCCGCCGATCCTGGATGAATCGCTGCTCTGCTGCTCTTAGACGAACTGGGATCGTTGCTCAGCCGCTTCTCCTAGACGATTCGCCGCTCGCTGCTCCTAGAAGACGCACCACTTCGCCGCTCCTAGATGCCGCATAGACTTCGCCGCTCCTAGATGCCGCATAGACTTCGCCGCTACTAGGACAGGACGCGCACCACTTCGTCGGTCCTAGATGCCGTGTGGACTTCGCCGCTACTAGGACAGGACGTGCACACTCCGCCGCTCCCTCTTGTTTCTACACTTCGTTCAGTTCCTCAATCTCCACGGCACAGGGTTTTTGTTCCATCACATCTAGGTAAAAATCCTTTTTACATACTAAACATTCATTTATTATTACTATTGGTGTTTGATTTATGTATATCCCAACGGATGGCTGCTAAACTAACATGCTCATTAGAAAAACCAGGGAAAAATTGTTTATTTAGTAATGTTTGAGTATAGAAATACAAAAATACCTAAAGAAATGCTGATGTTATGCTGTTAGGACCCCGTCTAGGATTGTATGCAAGTTCTGTCGAGATCTATTATTTTGATCGTACTTGGCCAGTGAAAACTTCTATACTTAAAACAAGATCATGATACAAAACAATGATCTGGGATAACAACTGAGGATGTTGATAAAAGAGAAGAAGATTTTTTATGCTACAAAGCATACATTGGGACAAACTGGGTGAAAGGGTTTGGGTCAGGAGCGTGGTTGCTTATCTAATATTTATAGTTATGATGAACACACGTATGGCTCTTTTTATGACTCATTTTCTCACACATTAAAAGTTTTTTTTAAAACTTGTAACAGATTTATAGGAAAGCTTCCACTGCTTATGGTTCATTGTAAAAAATGTTTGGAGACCAGTCCTTTTTCTTTGAAAACAAGTGTCTTTTATTCACTAAACAATTCCCTCATGGCGGTTTTCATCTCTATTATTATGAAACCATTTTTCCCATTGTTTTGCACTAACAACTGCTGTTAATCCAAGCTAATGAGCTTAAATGCTATTTTTCTAGGGATGCACTTATTACACTACTTGCCTCACGAGTAAGTATCAAATATTACATTACTCTTGCTACCCTGATTATTTGTGTTTGTTTTGTTGTATCTATTGTTCTGCTCAGATTATATATGGTGATGAACTGGATATGAACTACTAAAATATGATAATCTTATGCAACTATTAGGCTAATAGTGATGATAGTCATTGCCTAAAATTATATTATACAAGAACAGGGAATGGTGGATTATGTCAACTAAATGTGGAGTTCAACTCTTAATCTTTTATCACTTATGATCTCGTGATGGAGTAACTTATATTGATTAGACTAATATGTTCAATAGCTTCAAGATCCTGTCCAATAAAAATTTCTTTTTTAAATTTTAACCATGGTAGTTCTAATAGTTTTGAAGGACGGGCATTATCTGCACTTAATAGCTCAATAGTTCAAGATCATGACTCATATAATGTTGAAGGAAGGGCATTATCTGCCCTTAATAGGTTTTATCAACAAGCTAGGATGGTTTCAGAACAAGTTCGGGTGCGTAGGTTTCAACACTAACAATCTAATCTTGAGCCTTCAAGTACTAATCCGGTTTTTACTCTCTGCTAAAGTAGTGGTGTTTGACTGCATGTTTTGCATATTAATTCACCTTTCATCTTCTTATACTTATATGGTCACTCTAGCCATGGTGATGAAACTTGCTCTTGTATATTTTGATACTTAAACTCTTGTCCAAAATCTATACAGGTGGTAAAAGGCAAAAGATGTACCTAGCATGCTATAAGTCTGACATTTATTATTTCTCTCTGTGCAGACCGGTGCCAAACTGAATATAACAGCGGGTGATGCAACCCCTTTATATATTGCTGCCGATAATGGTAGTCCAGAAATAATCAAAACATTATTACAAGGAGGAGTCGAGGTAGCTGTGAAGCAGTTTATAGGATCAGTAGGGTCAGTTTATATTCTCTGTTCCGGTTAGTGCTTCCTTTACTTAGCAGTTATCTGGCATTAGTTAGAGTTTCATTCCAAATGACTTAAATCATAAAATAAATCCTACTAATTACATTGTTTGTTTAAGATGTGGTCTTTTACTACCTTCGGATATTGTTGAGGTTGAATAAGATGTGGTCTTTATTCTTTTGGAGTCATTTAACTTTATACTTCATTATATCGAACTTTTGTTTTAAATGAAAATTGTGGGTAATATATATTACTAACAGAATGAAGAGGAATGATAATGGTATGTTTTTTTGTTTCTCCAGGATGTGGTGATGAACATGAGCTGGTGGGTTTCACGGCATTCATCATATTTCAATGACACGTGACATTCAAATAAGTGTCATTCCAACCAACCCAAAATTTAAAAAGGAAGTACCTCTTCTATACTGAAATCTCCACAGCTCCCCCTAATGGCTTATTTTCTTTTGTAAGTTCACTTTTAGACCTAGTTGACCCTGCTTGTCTCCTCTTTTCTTTTGACATTTTACACTTTTACAGGTCATAACTGATGGATGTCGGTCTTCTGATAGAAACTTTTGGGGTTTAATCATGTATTTTTAGGCTTGAGCTCCAAGCTTTTCTGTTTTTTTTACAATTATTATTATCATTATCATTTTTTTACAGGTCATTATTATTTCTTTGATAAGTTTTATTACACACTTTTCTATGTGGAATCTGAATTTACTTGTTTTATTCTATTTGACAGAGAATTAAGAAGTTCATGATTTAGCTAATTTGTTGAAGTTTGAAGAACTAAAGTGCACTGAGAAGAATCTTGAGCTATTATGTGTCATAATAAAGGTCTAATCATTCTTTGTAACCAACCTTTTGTGTGAATAGTGTGATTCTATATACAGAAAGTTGTAATTGCAATTCATTCATTTCAAATGTGTCTGGATTAAAATCAAGTGTTTGCAAATTTTTTAGCTTTATTATATGCATTGGGATACAAAGTAGTAATAAACTACGTACCTGTTTTTATAGAAAGAAGCAGCCTGTTTGTATATAATAATGTATATTGTTGAAATAAAAAGCGTTTATTTTTTTTAAAAAAAAAATTGGACTTTCTATAACGGTTACCTTAAAACTAATATTATAAGTCTTCCGTATGGGTTATAACAACCGACACTGAAAGGAATTTCTATAGCGGTTGCATACGAAACCGATATCATAAGTTTTCCATATGGGTTACATTAACCGACATTGAAAGTGTCCACTTTCTATGTCGCTGGATACTATATCGGTTGTGAACCGTTATAGTATGTCTCTTTTACCCCATATAAAAAGTCATTTTTCCACTAGTGATTTGACCTATAATTTGGGATGGATGGGGTGCAGACGTGCAATACATTTTTAATTTCACTTTAACAACACAATTTACCAATTTTATATAAAAAGTGAGAGCTAGCTTAGCAAGGATGAGGAATTACACATTAAATTGCAGAGTCAACTGTAATGTTGGAATGTTTTAACATCCGGATGACATTGCTGGACTATTTGAAAGTAATGCCATAAACCAAATGTTAGATTTTGTTTATCATGCTATGCTGCAATAAGCTTATCAATTAGCAATAACAAAAGCCAAGGAAAATCCTTGCTCCCAAAACAGAAAATAAGCAAAACCAGAAGCATAAAAAATGCTTGTTTGAAACAGAAAACAACAGCTTATTTGGCCAAATAAGCCATGAGAAGAAGAGCTTGTAAGAAAATCCTAACATGTTTCTCAAGAAAAGCCCTAAATTGGATTTGATGAATAAACCAAGTACATACGGAATTTGTTAGAATATGCTCAAGGGAGCCTTTCAATGCTCGAAAATGTCAATTGATGGGGCTAAGTTCCTCTTCCGCAATAATGCTCAAGCAGCCAGGGAGAGAAGGCAATAGCACTGTCTCATTGGTTGCAATGGAGAGAAGCCACCGTCTAATTGCGGTGGATAGTAGGCAACCTGGAAGGCACCGGACTTCTGGTTTGGGTAGAGAGAGCCGTCGTCTGGGGTTGCGGTGGATAGTAAGAAGAGCCGAAGAGGATTGCGTCTGGTTTTGGTAGATACCAGGAAATGGCAAAAGAAAAGAAAGCTCCGTTAACCCTTAGTCCCCGTCTATCTCCCAAGGACTCAAGTACAATTTTTTTTTTTCTTGGCTGGAATTCTCGATCAATATATTGCCTATCCACATGTCAATTCTTTATTTGGCCACATAAGCCAGGTTCTGTACCCGAAAAAATAAGACGGGCACCATAGCAAGCACCAAAATTTTATTCAACTATGATATATAATATTTTAGATATTTATATGATCAACAAAAGTTGCTATATAGATCTTTAGAAGAATTAACATACAGAGTATTGAATATGTAAAAATAGAAAACAAAAAAATGGAACCAGAACTGGCTGGGAACCAGGACCAGTTCTCGGAGAGGGATACTGGGTACCAGAACTGGACTGGTACAGCCCTAGCTAGGATTAACCCATTCACCTAACTTAGGTTAAGATTGTAGCAAAACAATGCAGATTGCTATCTTAGGTTGCTTTGGGCACAAGAAAAGAGAAACCACTCAAACTCGCATCCTCTTGGAAGGAGGGCCTTGGTCGATGATGGGATCAGGTGGAGGCTGCTGCTGGCCTTCTGCTTGCTGGTTTTCTGACCCTTCTGCAGTTGACTGGTGTGTATAGCCTTCTGGAAATGGAGGCAATGGAGGAGCTTGCGGAAGCTGTAAAAAACATAAAGTAACTAATATGAGAATCAGACAAACATGCCATCAAGGATGGTCCATTTGCATAGCGGCTTACGGAGGGACCTGTGGAAGATGATATTGAATGGCCTTAGTTTATACTTGGATACATCTTTTAGGTTTATTAAAATTGAAAAGACTAGTAAAAATGCCGGCCAGCAAGGCTTATATAAGCATAATAAGGGGGCTACCTAATGTCCTTGTTCGCCAGCTAGATGTGGCATATTTTTCTTATAAGGAAAGATTGGCTTCTAACTTGCATATTTAGCCAAAAAAACTTGCCAAAGAGGTCCTCTCAAATGTTAGAATGGGTTCTTTTTTGGCAAAGAATGGGTTCGTATTATAAATGATATTCAGACACATGTCATTTTGCTGCTGAAAGATGGCACCAACACAAACAGAACATTTCCCTTTTCCTTCTTTTGAACATAGCACTGAGGATATTTGAGCCATGATCAATTGGTAAAATCGACAAAACTACTTAAGAGTAGTATACTTTGGGGAACCATGCAACTTGTGACAAACTTTTCTTTCAGCTAAACTATGCATATTCATACAAAGGAACACATAGTGCTCGTTGGTCTAGGTAAGGTCACCTTGCGTTGTAGAGAAGCAAGAATATGATCTACTCGCTTAAGTTCTTTGAAGTCAATAGCCTCCTTGGGGACCTTTTTCTCAGCTTGCCCACCCTCATTTTCGGCATCAACTGCATGATTACAAAAAATATCAAATGCAAGTAAAATGTAAAGCATAATTAAACAGTTTTATTTTAAGAGCATTATAATGTTATGGTAATTCATCATCAGAGAAAAAAATTGGTGTCCTATAAGTCACTTTAAAATCACAAGTGGAGACATTATGGGAATTAGTAATCACAATCAAAGTCTGCTATCCTTGGTTCTTTATAGTAATGAACTTTCAATGGACACTCACTAAACAACTAAAAGTCAAATATTCTTTAGAAATGCAAGAAGCCAAGGTTATCAAGGTTCATGATTCCTTCTTTCAAGTTTCACATATCTGAAAACAAAAATGAATTAGTTTGATTTTCATGACTAGCTTATTCAGAAGTAATCAAGACTTGAAGAAAGAATGTCAACTAAGCCTTCATCTCAATTTGAGATGCTGTCAAGATCGCGAGTTAACTAGTTAACTCGTACATGGGGTGGTAGCATGAACATTTATGATGATGGTATTTCATATTAGGGCGCTTGAATGAAAGTTTCAGTGAAAACTTTAGTACACATAATTCTTTAGTCCTGAATATATATTTTCAAATCTTCCTCCAGGTGATCAAAATTATATCATTTGATTATTGAAAATCTCAGAATGATTAAATAAAATTATATAAGGGACTAAAGTATATCAAAATACCATATCCAATCTTCTCCAGTTTTGTTGCAGCAAAGGTAAAAGCTTTTGATATGTGAAATAAAGCCCGCCCCTATCAGAAACAGGAACCAAAGGAACGTGAGTTTCAAGATGAACGTTGTTTCAATATGATAAGCTGTTAGTTTGAGTCCAGAATTCCCAATGTTCTAATCATTAACAGCAAAGGTTCCATTTGGAACTGTGACTCGATTGAAAAGAACTGTTTCTGAATGTTGTCATGACGGATGTCAGCGGCAGAAATATAGTATACCCCCATATGAAATTTGTGAAGAATGGCGGGTATGGCTGTCTATGGCAGCACACAAGCAGCATATGCAAGATCTTGGGTATCCACATTAATACACTACTTGGAATAGTGGATAATTATGTCATAATATTTGATTGCAATTCTATAAAATTAAGAAGCTAAATCTCTGAGAGGATGTGAAATTGCATTTCCGATTACTACATATTGTGATAATACATTCCCTCTCCTCCATGTCTTCACAGTTTTACTTTCCCAAATTTAAAACAGTTGATTCCCAGACACCCAAGCAAGATAGTAGGAAGTATTCTGATGACAAGAGCTTCACTTTTTGGACAATCTGGGGCCAATTTGGAGAAACTCCAAAAAAACACTTTTGGAAATAAAAATCACTCAAAATAGGACCAAAACGTAGGCAAAATTGTAAAATGAGACCAAAACGTAGGCAAAATTGTAAAATGAGACCAAAACGTAGGCAAAATTGTAAAATGAGACCAAAACATGGGCGAAATTCTATAGGACCAAATATGTTTTCTTCCTAAAACAGGCTTATTTAGTCCTATTAGAATAATAAATGAAAAAAAAACATCACTAAATAAGAGTTTGTGAGTCCTGATTTGGGAAGAAAACAATGTAACTCCTATTTAAGAAAATTTGCAATGTTTTACTCCTATTTAGGGGGTGTTTGGATCTGATTCTTAAAACTGCTTCTTACATGCAGAAGCAGAAGATGAAGTGTTTGGATGAAAATGAAGAAGTGATTCTGGAGCTCTAATTTACTCCTAGAATCAGTTTTTTTAGAAGCTGGGGGAGACCAGCTTCTGAAAACTGATTTTAATTCTGCTTCTGCTTTAAAAAAGAAGCAGAATCAGTTCCAAACACCCCCTTAGAGAAATTTCTCTTTTGAAAACACGCCTTTTCGGGGAATTTCCGAGGTTGCGATATCCATGTAACTAATATTTTAACATTTATCATGTGAAGAGTTGGAGAACCTTAACCCAAAGAAACTTTTATAACATTCACCTAGATTATTAATCTTATAATCATATAAAAAGTACTTTTAGCATATGCACTTGGGTTCACCCAGATCAAACAAGTTTCTAGATTTAAGTTCACCCCGCACCAAACAATGCTTTTCACTGCAGGGAAAACATAACTGCATTCAAGGGATGAGGGATTAACAGAGCAATTTGCTTCCTACAAAACAAAAAATTACTAGCTGCTTCAAAGTTCACACCAATTAAATTAAGCAATAACAGGGACATACGAACCAATCTAGCTGCAAAGACATTGCAAAGCTGAGGAGCTTGGTAAATTGAACCATCCAACACATAATAAGTTAGCATCGGTGTGACTTTCTCAGGACTATCTCTCTTTTGTTTACGGAAGACAAAGTGATGGGGCTCCATAACTTCAGTAAGCATGAACTCAATTCCAGTCATTTTTCTGCATTTGAAATCAAACTGCTGAAATATGTACTTTAAGTCTTAAATCTTGAAAACCAACTTGAAAAGTTATACTCGTATTCATTACAGTAACCCACTCTTTTTTCTCAAAATTCAAAAACAGACAACTACGGAATGTGTTTGAGCGTGACATAAGTGGAGAAAAAGAGAGCTTACGACAAATGAGAAACATCCAGGGGGTGAATAGAGCGCATGCGGAGCTGTTCATTATTGCAGGTCCAATCATAAAAAGGTGAAAGAACAAAGTAATCGAACACCAAGTTTCGGTCCAGAGGGTAAGTGTTCAGCCATAGCTGATCCCTAAAACATATCCCGGTCATATCCGTCCCTGGAGGCTGCGGTGGTGCAGGCACACCTCCATCTAAATTCTGGTTGCCAATCGCCGCGTTAGGAGGAACCATTGGCGTATTAACCATTGCAGATGCTTTATTTCCAAACGAGTTGAGGAAGACTGGTTTACTTATGGAGAGAGATTTGGCTATGTATGTTAATCAGCTTGATATTCCACTACACATTGTTTTGACTTAGGAATATGCTGCTGTACTGGGTATCCTTCTCAAACGGTGGATGGATTTCTTCACAGTGACGGGTAAGAAATTCAAGGAAGGTACGAACGCTCATGCCGCCAAGTCTTCAAATGGCGCCGCTGATAGGCTCCTCCTTGAAATCTTGGCAGGGTCAGATATAGCATTTCAATTCAGGTTGGGCCAAAATTTTCATATATATAATATAATTTGAATTGCATCAACAAATAATATATAAAAATATATACAAAGTATTATAGATGTTTACAAGAATAAGAGTTTTCATCCAAGTCAAATTCAAGCAACACATCACGAATTCATAATTGGGGTTTTCATATAACGATGTGTCTCTCCATAATGATATCTTCATTAGCTTCTGGTTCAAAAGATTTAAAGTGTCTCCTTAGATCTATCTTTATTAACTTTTTCAACTCTATTTTAATCCGCCACATCATAAGATAGGTTAGACAATAATAAACCAGTCTATATTAGAAACAATTGGACTAATACTAACAAAAGTAAATGGGATTAATGCTAAACAATGAGATTAATACTCACAAAAATCACTCATATTAATGCTAAACGTCCAAATAATGACATTAATAGTGAGAATGATAACAAGAATGGGATTAATATTCATTGGCACAAATCACAATCATATTATAAGTTTTTAACATGGAGTTTTGAGCACAATGAGTTTTCAATCATAATATATGAGTTATAAACGATATTTTCAGTCATAAGTATTATAATGAGTTTTCAATCATAATATTAAACAATGGAATGCATATCAAGTTTTGAGCACAAAAACTTCAGTCATTAACTCTGGAATTAACCAACTAGGTCAAAAAATCTAACAGTCTGAAATTGAGTTTTTTTCTCTAGGATTAATTTGCCTCGATGAAAAGTGACGGAAATTGGGGGATACATACGACGTGTAGGTGCAGCAGTGCAGCAGACGGGTGGCCGGTGGCGGCTCACGGCTGCTAACCTGCAATCACGCTGGGCGAGTGGCGGATTGACGGGTTGGGGCAGAACACGGTAGCCGGTAGGCCGTAGGCGGACGGCGGCGTTGTCTTGTGGTTGGCTAGACGGGTGGTCGCTGCTGCTGCAGTCGCTGGATGCTGAACTGCTAAAGAATCGAAGGACAGCCGGGGGTCACGAGTCGGGATAAATTACTCCGATCCGTATCCAGTCCAGCTCCAGTGTTAGTTCCAGTCCGGTCCGGTCAACGACCCGACGACTTGGTTGTCTCTGTCCGGTTCGATTGACAATTGAGCACTTTCGATCCAGTCCGGTCGACGATCCGACGGTCGAGCAGTTCCGGTCTGATTCGGTATGGTCAATGACTTGGTGGTCCTCTTTCTGTCCGGTCAGCGACCCGACTGTTCCTGTCTTATCTGGTCAACGACCCAACGGTCCCCATCTTGTCCGGCCAATGATCCAACCGTCTCTGTTTTGTCTGATCAACAACCAGCCGGTCTTGGGCCGGTCTCCTCAATGACTCGGCAGTCCTTGCATGGGCCGATCAATCACCTGGTTGTTCGGTCTTGATTTCTTGAAACCATTTTCTAAAGTGAAATGTTTTAAAAGTGTCGTTGAGTTATCAACCAGTAGGGGAAACAAAAAAAATAGTCAAATTAAACGTTGAGATCGATCGGGACCGGTCGGTTTCGGTCATGACATTCATATATGTGGGACATGGTACGCAACTTGGATTGCCACCCAATACAATATATTTTAGATGCAAGATGGGCATTTGCTAACTACTAAAACTAGCTCTTTCAACTCTACAATTGAAGAAGATCTCACAAATAGGTTTGATGTAGAGCTGGTGGTATTTTCTGAACTTATTCTCCATGTCTAATCTCACAATACTTCTCGACCAATTGAAATTTATTTTAATTTCGATGTAAACAATTCACATGTTATCACCCAACTCAGTGAATTTTTGCTCTTTTTAGTTTTTTCTCCGATGAAAACATTGAATGCTATCCCTCAATGAGCTTTTGAATACTTTTTTTTTGTTTTTTCTGAATAGATTTTATGTGTGCCCCTTCTCACCACATCAATTATCAAATTGAGCCTTGTGCTAGGTCAATTGAGATTTGAGACGAGTGCAGTTTTGTTCTGTCACCCCTCTTTCTTTGGTTGCCGGCATTGCAATCTTATTTGGTTATTTCTATTTCAATTTGTTATAACTTTTTATTTATGATCCAATTTTTATTAAAAATATATCGAATTAATTTTTTCCTAGATCTTTCCAATGGTACCAATATTGCATATACAAAATCTATTTTTTCAAAATATTTATTTCTATCCGGACTTTTTATAAATTTTAGATATGCAATATTCCCATATTGGTACCATATGAAAAATCATAACAAATAATTAAAAACATAGATATATCTTATTAAAACAATTGGATCATAAATGGAAAAGTTATAATAATTGCAAAAATAAAACGAATTAACATGCCGCAGCCTAATAGAGAGGGGTGATTCACGTTCATCTGTGATGATGAACAAAATTGTTTTCTATATAGACTCGGTCTTTCTTCCTGAACCAATAATGGAACAAAAAGTAAAAGTCCGGTGACTATTCTCTTATTATTAGTTACTAGGAGACGTAATTATAAAGTAAGACACTATTTGTCCTTGTAAATTATGTAACTTGGAATTTTATTAAAACTGTTTGCTAGGTATAATTGTTTTTTTGTTTTTTCTCATCTTAGAGGTTGCTGGAAAGTGTTTAATTTTCGGATTGGTTGTAACTTGTAATCAGTCCAGGAATGGCATGAACATGTGCAAGTGACAAGGCTCCTATGTTTTGTTTAACAAACTTATATTGTTTTGTCACACCAGAAAAGTAAGTGAGGGAGGTGCTATGCAAAACACTTCATATTATTTCGAATGAATTTGAAACTAAAGCTAATGAAGTGGATTTTAAATGCAAGTTATGCAACCTATGTTTTTTAATGAATCTAAAAGTTGTATAACTGTTAGAGTTTAATCCAACACGATATAGTAAATATATGTATAAAGGTGTATGAATACTCGGATTTTACGTGGAAACCCGAAAGGGAGAAAACCACGGGACTTTTTAGGCTAATGTCCAAGCCCTCTCATTCTCATTAGGACTCTCCTCACCATTACAAGATACAAATGTTGAACTCCATTAATGGAGAATAAAGCTAATCTAGAGAGAGAAGGAAGAAGAAAAAAAGACCTCTAATAAGGAGGGAACTCCTCCTATTTATAGAGGAAAGGGGAAAGGGTGCTCTCCACCCTAACGGGCCAATGTTGGGCCTGATGGGCCGAAATTGGCCTAGATATTTGGGCTTCGTGCTGGATAATGTCTTGGGCTCCTGAACAGTAATAGGTCGGGATAATATATCCCAACAATAGCAATTATATGAATGGTTGGCATAAATTAAAGGTAATATTACTTGTTATACTTGGTATGTTTTATTGAATTTGTTTTTTGTTCAAGTTTTTCACGATGGAAGAATGTTAAACAATGTATATCTTCGTAGCTATAAATAGCTAACGATAACTGAATCTACTCAATATACAAACTTCCTAGCAAAAACTCATTGGGCGTTTGCTCAATCGCGCAACGCACGTGTAAAAAACTAGTATTACATATATATATATATATATATATATATATATATATATATATATATATATATATATATATATATATATATATAGATATAGATAAGAGATCAATTGCAAACCTATCTTAATATGCTAACCTACAAACTAATCCAGGCCATTCATTTAGTTAAGATCTGCGTCCGTTTCAGGCTAATTGCTCAATTCTGACTAATTAAAAGAAAGGGTGTTATGGTCAATTACATCTCTTTTATAATGGGAAAAAATCACGCTCATTACTTTCCATTCCCATAAACCGCCTATTTTCCTTTTCTTCTTTCATTCCATCTTTCCAATCGATCAAGGTTTCATCTGTGCGCTTATCTTCCTCATCGAGATTATGAATTGCTCGAACTCATCTCCCACCATTTTCATCGAACGTCATGGAATCAGGTATCCCTATATCTTTGATGAACTCTTTTTCCGTTTCTTCTTTCCATCCACCTTTGCGATCGATCCTGTTCTTCTTGCCATCCACCTTTGTGATCGATCCTGTTCTTGTTTCCGTCCACCTTTGCGATCAATCATGTTTTTCATTTCTGTTTGTCTTCATCGTCGGATTATGACTTCTGCAGTTAATCATCTCCCAGCATTGTCATCAAACGTCATGGAATTAGGTATTCTCCTATCATTTGATGCAATCTTCACTTTCTTCATTATTCCTTCTTTTTGTTCGTGTATTGTGGTCGAGCATTTTTTAATTGAATTGATTCACATTACATGTTGATATTACTGTTGGACTTGTCCAAATGAATTTCATAATTAAATGTTGATAATGTTTCTTTCCTTGACTTTGATGATTTTTTTTTCTTTTGTGCTTTGTTGTACATAAATTGGGTATGAAATCATACTCCATCATCTATCATTAAAGTCAAGTTGTAAATAATTGTTTTGAATTTGTTCAAATTTATCTATCTCTTCCAATTTTGTCTTCTTCAAAGTGTTTATGTATTATGCATTTGTTTTGGTTTTATGGTGCATTTAGTGAAATAAGATGTTGACTGTTGTTTAATATTACTTGTCTTTAGACTTGGATGTAAAACCCTTTGACGGTTGTTTCTGAAGGACTTGAAATTGGAACGCATTCCGGACCATTTGGTGAATAACAGATGGTGCAAGAAGGATTTAGTGAAGGCATTGACTGAAATTTCAGATTTCATATTTCAGCAAACTATATTGTTGGAGGAGAATAAGATATATGTTAACACTTTATGGTCTGATATTTATTTTTGCATGACCCTTGTTGAAACTTAACCCAGTTATTTAAAGCATTCTCTAGTATTTTTAAAGAGAAAAAGGAGATTTGTTTTCTCTATATGAAGGTGTTGGTCAGGGTTCAACAAAGAAGTCATAACTTGAATCCTTTTATGGTTATGGTGTGTCATCCGAAGTTATTGTGCATCCCCTGCAGCATGCCAAAAATAAGGGAACTTCTTTTATGGTTATGGTCTGCCATCCGAAGTTACTGTGCATCCCCTACAGCAGGCCAAAAATAAGGGATCTGGTCGTAGGATTAGGTCTTCAAAGGAAGTTTCAATGGAAGAATCTAAATGCCCCAAATTACTTTGTAGATCGTTCAATGAGATGGCGCATCATGACATTATGAATTGCCCTTTGAATAAATAGACTTTCTTAAACTTAAAGTGTCAGTTTGCTAGTTTTGTTGTTTGACATTGTGTCTTTGTGTACAATCTAAACCTTATGTTTGAAATGCAAATACTTTTATGTTATTGGTTTTTTATTTTACTCTTGTATAATACGTTTACAAATTATGGTTATTGTCATTTTAAATATTGTCATTAATGAGTATTCGTTGATGCATCATTCATGCCAAGAGGTTATAACCCTTAATGTCATCTTATACATGAGAGTGTTGCATCTTTATATGGTGTGTAGTGCATACAAAATTCATTCACGAATAAGTAATGCACTATAGACTCGTACTCATGCATTGCAAGTAGATTAGACTTGCATCTTACAACAAATGTTTATGCATACATGAAGCTCAAACATACAAACACACTTATGTATGATTTCAACCATAGTATTTGATATTTACTAAGCACACATGAGAACCAAAACAATTTTATGCACGCACCCTACATGCATATTCCAATTTACCTGTGTATCAGTGTATGTAAGCTTATACTCTATGCAATTTTATTATTCAATGCAAGCATATAACTCAAACGTAAAATGATGCATAATATTTCTCATTAAAGTGCATCATACAATCTGTTAAGATGCATGTAAAGTAATACCAAAACTTCATTCAACCAAATTTAATACTTCGATTGCACATTCACACTGAATAGTCACCATAATGTTAATCTATCATAAGATATGTTTTGTTACTAACGTCATTCAAAACTTCCATAGGTGTCCACCCACACAATAAAACATATCATAGTACTTTTCAACTAAAACATAAACAAAAACATATGCTATGTAAAGTCACACTACTTTTTAAACTACAATGGAAACAAAATCTATGCTACTTTATTGTTCTATGCAATTCATATAAATTTTCATAGTATATATTTCAAACGTACATTGATG